GAATTTAACAACGAAAAATGATCAAGTACACCTTGATCAGTATATCTCACAAAGCTAGCTGTTCAAAGACCCAGAGAGTTTGCTCTTCTTGTTTGTGAGGATGAACCAACAAAGACTGAAAAGATTCAACGCACAAGTCTACTTCAATATATTATGATAAATGCATTAATAAAACAAGTTGAAACCTGCATATGAAAAACGAAATTATTATTGAACCCGTGAATGGTATGTTTTTTACCTGGATCGTTGACGAGAGGAGGAATGGAGCTGTCATCGTCATCCAGGAATGGAGCTGTCGTCGATTTCCAGCAAGGAATGGAGCTGTTGTTGTCAATTTCCAGCGAGGGAGGAAGACGTCGTCGTCGATTTCAGAGAGTTGAGTTGCGATCCATTTTAGCAAGGAATGGTTGCGATTTCAGACTTCAGAGAGTGGAGTTCATTGAGATTGAGTGGCAATTTGTGTGGGATTTCAGATTTTCAGCATGGTTTTAAAAAATTTTCAAAGGATTTTGCATAGAGAAAGGAGAAACTGAGAAATTAGAGAAAGTGAGAAATTAGGGACGGTTTATCAAGCAGTTCGGTTGGACCGACGGTTCACACTGTTCGTGCAATTCATTGGCGGTTCATAGCGGGATATTGAGTAATACTGGGTTTTATATTGACTCGAACCGGACATGTGACCAGGTCCCAATCCAACCGATTGGACCAACCGGTCCGGTCCGGTTTTAAAACCATGGTTTTATTCTAATTTGATGTATACCAATACCGGTCAATAAATACTCGCCGGCTAGCCAGGTTCTAGTCATTAGAATGAGCATTTAAGTATCAACTGCCAATGTCTTTAATAAAACTTTATCCGGCTAACTTCTCCACTTCTCCACCACAACATAATTTCACTGAATTTTTTTTTATCAGTCAGGAAAACTTTACTTAAAAGACATCAAAATGACAAAAATACTTGTAGTTCACAAAGCTGAAATTAAACTACTCACATCCTTATGTCTTGCTTTGAGCTAATGTTTTACAAGGTAAGATACAAGTTGGCTGCTATGAAAANGAGAAAGACCCCAGCAAAAAGCCCCAAATCAATTGCTCATTCAACACAAAAGAACCCTAACAATTTCAGACTAAAAAACCCGATAGCTGTACACCTTCTAGCTATGGTTTGCCTTTAGATTGAAAAAGTTAAAGGGTGTTAACTTAAATGTAAGGGAGCGAGGAATGGTGTACTTGGATCGAGGAATGGAGCTATCGTCAACGAATGAAGCTATCGCCGTCGATTTCCAACGAGGAACAGAGCTGTTGTCGTCGATTTCCGGCAAGGGAGGAAGACGTCGTCGATTTCAGAGAGTTCAAATGCGATTTGGGTGGGATTTCAGAGAGAACAGAAGACAAAGCCGAAACCGTGACAATTTTCGCAAAGAACAGAGAGTTTGCTTAGAAATTTTCGTGAGAAAAACGGAGAAAGAGAAGAACTGAAGATTGAAGATTGAAGAAGATGAGAAAGGGGCGTGAGAATGACTGCATCGCGTTTAGGATTTAGGTTGTTAATATGGACCGGTTTTTCTGCCGGTCCGATTGGACCGGCGGTTTAGTGATATTATCCGGTTTTTAACCGGTTTAATGCTTATAATGGTTTTGAGAGTGAACCGAACCGGACACGTGACCGGTTCACGGTCCAAACAGTTGGACCGGCCGGTCCAGTCCGATTTTTAAAACAGTGGGAGGAATGCATCATCGCGATTTCCGGCGAGGGAGGAACGCGTTGACGCGATTTCAGAGACAGGAGTTGGGATCGATTTCAGCAACGAATGGTTGTGATTTCAACAAGGGATGGTTGCGATTTCAGCAAGATTGAGTTTTGATTTGTGATATTTTTCAGATTTTCGCGATTTCATTCAAAAAAATTCAGAGATTTTGCGCGTAGAGGAACTAAGGAAGAAGAAATGCGCAGCGCAAAGGGAGAAAGTGAGAAATTTAGGGTTTTTTCATTTTTTAGATTGGGCCGGTTTTTCTTACGGTCCGGTTGGACCGGCGGTCCAGCACTGTTTACACGGTCCAATGACAGGTTAAAGCGGTTTATTACACAATAGCGGGTTTTATACTGACTCGAACCGGACACGTGACCGGTTCACAGTCCAACCGGTTGGACTGGCCGGTCCGGCTTTTAAAACAGTGCTTAGATTATAAATCTAATTCAAAAAAATTGGAATCATATTTAAATCCTTACTAAGCAACGGAATCTTCAAACGACACTTGTCGATAGGGGTGATCGGTTCCGGGTACCCTGCATTTTTTTAAAGAATCGAAACCGACGATTCTTTAAAATTTGGAACCGGTTCTTAGGTACCCAGAACTAGAACCTGTAACAATGGTTCCGGTTTCGATTCTGAGTACCCTGTAAAATTCATGACCCTCAAAAAGTTTTTAAAATGGCAAAAAATCTTAAAAACTTACAAATACCCCCCCACCTGGCACTTGTTAACAAAAATAAAATTACGAATTATAAATTCAAAATTACAAACTTCATTTCTTTGTAAAAGTAGATTCTCAAAGGTCAAATCAACTTACTTTAAATGTTATGAAATATAAATATAAATGTATTCACATTACTTTTTCTACAAAAGTTTTTATTAACCCCCATAATCTTTAATTTTATTTTATATTAGTCTCGGTTCCTAGTTCCTGGTTCTGGTTCCGGTTCTTAACTATAGGAACCTGAACCGAAACCGCATAGTAATGGTTCCAAATATATTTTTCTCGTGGTAACTAGTTGACCAGGAATTCCATGCTTAAAGTTTGATCATTGTAGGTTTTGTGAAATCGTAAAATTTGCATACTTTAAGCTAGGATTTTAAAATGATTTATTCTGGCTGCCGAAATTATTTGCTATAGTCCTAAGAAGCAAGTGCACCCATTACTTTAAGGAGTTACCTGTAAAAGTTAATTTATTTGATTTTTATTTTTTGCCTTGAAATGATGTTTTAATGAGGCATCTCTGAACAATGAAAATTTCTTGTTAGTTTTAAATCATCATGACTTGATCTCTTGATTGATCTACAAAGTTTGATTTTGTTAGCGCATATTGGAATGTAAGTGGGAATGTGTGATTTTGCATGCAGAGTCTGTATATGTGCAGATACAATCGTGGTTACCTGATACTAATATAGAGTGGTTTTTGACTTGGTGCTTTTGTTTGAAACTTTAAGAAATGAAAATTTTGGATGATTGGTTTCTACAGGATAACTTGTGAAGATGAAGAAGAACGAGCAAGTCGCAGAGTGTACAGGGGATGTACTCGTTCGCCAACGTGCAAGGGTTGCACTTCCTGTGTTTGCTTTGGTTGTGACATATGTCGTTTCTCTGACTGCAGCTGCCAGACTTGCATCGACTTTACAAGGAATGCTAAAACTTGAGCAAATCCCCTTTTAGGGCTGGTATTCCTCCTTTTTTGGGTGGGTTATTTATGACCAATTATTGTTTCATGAAAGCCCCATCCCCACATTTAAAAGAAGCCTTCGGTTGTTCCCTTCCTTATGTTTGACTTTAATTTTCCAGTCTCTGGGTTCAGTATTCATTGTTCTCACTGACTGGTTCAAGAACTTTCATCAAGTAATTTATTATCTTCATTTATGTTTTGCATGTGTTCCTATTGTTCCTTTTTTATTTGTTTGTGTTATGTCTTAGCCTTGGTTGATAAACTGTGTTTAGAGGTTAAAGGGAAAGCTAAATTGACCTGCAAGCAAGATTGTTGATGAAAACGTAAATTTACGGATACCATCTTTTAATTATTCCTTAGAAGATGGTGTCAAAACAATGCAAGGAAATACATATAAAACAAACCCACCGCGTCTTCGTTTCGTTTCTGCTTGGCTGTAGAAAATATGACTTGTAAATTTGCAATGAATATGGAGTGTTCGTGTTGATTGGAGGGGAATGAGATCGCATAAGAGTAAACGACATTTTTCCACCCAAGGTTTGGCGAATCTATGTTCTCACCCCTGGTTTCATAAATTACAGATTCTTATCTTTACATTAATAAATAATTGTTTAATTGAACAGTTAAAAAGGTAAAATAGTTATTTTAAAAATAAAAATTTCAAAATAATCTTTCACTTCTCAAATTCATCCTATCGGCGATTTTAGGTCATTCTGACCTGTTTTCGGCACAATCGATCCCTCTTAACACTACCATTACAATCCCCTCAATTCTCACATCAAAACCTCTAACCTCTCCGCCTGATTGAACCTCTTAATCATCGGTCATCGCTTTTAGTGTCAATCGATGTTTTATCCAAATTCTGGCAAGTCCCGACATCGAAAACCACCTCCAAGACCACCAATAGCATCACTGGCTTCCCCCCACCAAAACCCTTAACATTGTCGACTGCAATTGCCTGTTGATCATCGCCGCCTCTCCCTTAGGTTTTCGCGTTTTTCGTCCCTTTCCAACCAAATTCCGGCACCTCGCTGAGGTGTAATTGGATGGAAAAGTTAGGGGTTTTGGTGAGGAGGATAAGAGGATGCTGATGGGGGTCGAGGAGGTCCAACGGTGTCAGAATCAGGCCAGATTCTTAGATTGGTTGGAATCCTCTAAAAGTTATTTGAGAGAAATTTGAGATGTAGGAGTTATTTTGAGAGAAAAGTAACGTGGTTAATTCAAGTGTGGAAACTGCAGGTTCACCAAACCTTGAGTGGGAAAATGTCGTTTACTCCAATGCATAATTATAGAAATCAGAGCAATAATTAAATGAAAATAAATTCAAAAAGCACATTGAAGGAAATTTTTTGTGTAAACCGAGATAATCAGTGACTCGGCTCAAACAGAAGCATTTTATTTTTCTTAAATTTATTTGGTACAACATTTCAACATCACAACCAATTCAGTCAATTACACAGTTTATCTCAACCACTTAAAATAAAAATTTCGATTCCTATATTTGTAATGATAAAAATCATTAGTAATTGAATATATTACTGGCGCCGGAAAGATAGCCAACTACAATTATCAACTTTGTCTATTATATGTTGCAGTCAAAATACTTGTACTGAGGTAAGACCATCTACAACTATAAATAAATTCTCTATCCACAGCACAACTGTTTCTGAAATCTACGAGAAAAAGACACACAAAAACAAAGTGAAAAAAAAAAAAAAAAAAGAAAGAAACCTCTTCTGCATTAATGTTGGAGAAAGCAAATGCGGGATGAGTGCCCACCACAATCACTAAAGTAAATCGAAGCCCCCATATGGCTCCTACAACTCTCAATCTAAGTCTAAGGGACACAACCTAGCATAAGCTAATTCATTTTGCTAGAGTTCAAAAACGAACACAATACATGATTTCATCTGGCTTGCCGGCGACCTCTCCCACCAGCAAAACGTCCACCACCTCTATGATACGGTTTCCTTCCACTATTCAAAGATGCACCTGCACCCGTATTAAACTGTTTGGGAGCTTCAATGCCGACTGTAGGACAACCACCTGCTTGGAAATTGTTCTGTTCTCCATGTGGTCCATTGGGAGGAATCACCACTCCTCCGGCACTTGCAGATGGGGGAGCTGGCTGGCCCGGTAAACCCATCCCAGCCATTTGGTTTATAACATTTTGCCCCATAAACCCAGGCCAAGGTCCGTAGCCCGGCCCTGCAAACACATTAGGCTGCCCACCAGGTAATGGCTGACTAGGATTATACTGCTGCAGAAGGGCAGTATAGTTCATCATAGGTTGAAATGGATGCTGCTGATAATTCTGGGAAGGCCATGGCATGCTATTGGTTGGAAATCCACTAGGGAAAAAAGCATTCTGCGATTGCTGAGATTGCATCTCATTGGTCCAAACTCCATTTGAAGATGTGAAACCAGCAGTCGGAAATTGTGGAACTGAACTGATTCCAAAGCCTTGTAAAATCGTGGAAGAAGGAATACCATGACCCAGGGATGCTGGAACAGAAATCTGATGCTGGTTTTGATTAGGTATTGGCTGGCCAACTCCAGCCTGTGGTACTGAATGCCTATCATTTTTCCATGTATTTTTACCCTTCTTTCGATTGTTTTTCCCGTTACCAGGTTTCTGGTCATTCATGCCCCTCTTTTCCATCTTTAGCTTTCTCTTGTACTCGGCTTCTTTCTCATCATCTGAAAACTCCGCTTCATCTGATAACTCTTCATCATTGTCACCAGATGCATCATACCCTTTCTGATATAGATTCTTGTCATTAAGCACATGATTGGCAAACTCTTGAACGAAAGAGATTAGAGAACCTACACAGACACCAGCAGGAATTACACTTTCTGAATTGTATCGTATCACATAGTAAGGGTTTTTTACAGGTCCAAAGATTTCATCAATCAGCCCCAAAGGGGATCTGCTTTCAGTTATCCAGAGGATAGAACCCTCATTTAGAGGGTTATGCTTCTCCACCCCTTCTACAATGACTTGGACACCTATAACCTGTAATATTGCATGAAAAATCATAAAACTATTTATATTGCTAAAAAATTAAATCAAAGTCTAACAATATATATATTAATTATACATATATATACATATGTTAGATATACATACATATAGTTATATACATACATACATATATATATATAATGGAACAGGCCTATGAATCAGCTAACTAACTCCAAAGATAATTAAGGCTCTGTCTTGTGTCTTTATGAGCTTACCGACAGAACAACTCCAACAGGCTGCATCTGATGATGTGGTTGCAAGGTAACATTCACTTGAGGAACTGGAGGGAGAACCTACAATATTTCGTAAACATTATTCACCAGCCTCATAAACTAATGAGAGCCTCAAAAGATTAACCACGTGGATAAAATGAATAAAGCAAACATGTATATGAGGGTTATACCTAGAGGTCCCAGAGAAGATAAGAGAAAATCATAGCTTCAGAATGAGGAAATCCGACACATGACATGTTAATTAGTTTCCACATATCAATCGATGCTGAACCTATTTCAATGGACCCATGCTTCCAGTCAGATTGTGCATACAAAAAAAATTTCTTTGGAGTAGACAGACAGGGTAGAGATGATTTGAATTTTGATTGACAAGTTATATATGTAGCAGCTTGCTAATAGTTTTGACATAATATGATCTTAACAGTTGCACATTACAACACAAAATATTCAGAATAGCAAATCACCCTAGTTTCTTGGACTATCTCATCAATGCTTTAATTTTTTGTCATAAAGCTCAATGACACAAAAAATAGAAAATGGCATCAACCTTCAGAGATTGTAATGGAGAAGAATTTTCTAACACTTAAATATAGCCTTCAGAAGTATTAAAATCAGACTTGACGCCTAGCAATGTTCAATGTCAAAGATTACAACTCATAACCTTTCCACTTCAAATTTCTCACACATTATCAATTTTAATTCTTCATTGATAAATTTTCCACAACTAATGAGAGTCTGCTAAGGTAAGTAATCCAGAAATTTATTTTACTTTGGGTTTATCAGTTTAGCATGCCAAAAATCCAGTTCAGAACAATAACATTCTTCTCCAAGGCCATAGTTCAGGTTTCAGATGTTAGAGATAGAAAAGGATATCCACTTGATATTAAGTAATCCTTGAAAAACTGATATCTAGTTTCAAAACCATCCACCCTAGAATCTGTAAAATATGCACAAGATTGCTAGTAGGTTCTAAGATGCAAACATTACCAACTTAACAGTCCTCACATCTCAAACAATGGGCAACAGAAGAGAAAAGGTAATTTTGACACAGAATACCATCAAAGACAGAATTACCTACCTGCAGCTCATTCTTCGACTTAATAGGTCCTCCCATAGTACCTCCAATTTCATCTACATCAACATCATCAAATTCAATGTCACCCCCACCAATCACATCCTTTTCATTTTCCTCCTCATCACTATCATCATCATTTCTAGCAACCATCTCCTCTCCATTAACAACTTCTATCTCGCCTTCTTCAAGATCACCCGCCACAACCATATCTCTTTTTATCGGAATCTTCATTTCCTCTTTCTCCTCTTCATCTTCATCTTCTTCCTCTTCCTCTTCCTCTTCATCATCACTACTACTACTACTACTACTACTAGAAGACGATGATGATGAAGTTGAGCTTTCATCCTCAGACTCTGAATCACTTTCACTACCATTCTCATCACTTGCTATTTCAGTCTTCGCACCACTCCCATCAACAGCATCTGAATCCGACCCAACGGCCAATCCAACTTTCCCACTTATATCTACATCACGCACAGTTACACTTTTCTCACCAACCAAACTAACTTTATTCATCACTTCCTCTATACAACAACTCAAATCCTTCTCCTTCTCATCTTCCAATGCCTCAACCTTCGGCACACAATCAGACCCATCCAAAATTGGGTCAGACCCGTGGACAATCCGGTCCTCAAAATTGGTTTTTTCTTCTTCACCCATCTTTACACTCTTCTCAAGATCCTCAAATTCCATATTCTCTAAGGCAATCCTACCTGGATTTTGTTGGTTATCTTCAAAAAACTCCTTTATGGAATCAAAATCGAGAAATGAGTCGGCAAAAGACAAGTCGCTGATTTTGGGGTCAAAACTGTCAAGTGGGTCCTTGAAATTTTTGAGCTTTGAAGCTGGACTGATATTTTTTTCTTCAATGTTAGGCTTAGTGATAAACCCTTCCATCGCTTAAAACAAAAAGAGTAGGGTTTTGATTAACGTTTAAATACGGTTCGTAGTAAAGAGTGGATTGAAGTTTCATAGTTGCGAAAAAAAAGGAGGCAGCTTTGCGGGTTTTAAACAATTATAGGTTAAATAGGGTTCTGTTTGGGGATGCTATGGCTCTTAAACCCTAGTGTTGGAGAATTGAGTACCGTCTAGGGTTTTCGGTGGAATACTGGAATTAATGTAGAAACAAGTACATCACTTTGGTTAACTAAAGAAGGAAACGACGCCATTTTAGAGCATTATTTGCGACGAAGTTCAGCTGATGGGCCGGGCCGGGCCTAAATGGTTTTAAACTGATGTTTCAACAGAAAGCCTGCTAACAGGTTACATATGACAAAAGTAAACACAACATTTTCTTAGTATTTGAAGTTAATAATCATCCTGATTAATTGAGTGGGGGCGATTTTTAGCTCCATCAAATTGGTCACTATCCCTTATTTTTTAATGTATTTTTTTTTTTTTTTTTTTNTTCACAATCTTATACACCAACAGATACAAAATGTCTTTTTTAAACTCAACTAAAATCTTAGCCAAATCACCAATTCCTTCTAACTCAACAAAATTCATCACAAAAACGCCTGTCAATAACATAAGTCCTAGTATGGTTCTCAAGTACCATCAACTCAAGTGCAGAAAAATCAGTTGGATAAAACTGGGCAAAACGGATCAACTTATACTTGTCAAAAGCAGAGAATGAAATACTTGGATCTAAACATGTCATACAAAGAAGCAGCTCAATACTAACTTTAGTGAAACGAGTGTTAAGTTCTTAAAGTTGCATATCTATCACTGTATAAAACAATTCAACTCGATAATGATGCAAATTTTTCATGTGCTCAACTCTTCGTCGTGGCTGCCTTCGAATTGCAAACATATCATCCATATTCAAAATGGCAATATCATGTTTTTAGCAAAATGAAGAAATTTCACTCAACAAGGATTTCCATCCTTCATCTCTCAACAATTGTAACCGTTGTTTTGGAGACTTTGACTAGGGTCATAGCATTTACAATGTCTTGATATTTTCTCTGCAATGCTTGTGACAACTCATTAGTAATTGCCAATATACTTTTCATCATATGGAAGCTAAATGCAAAATCAAAGGAATAGATTACATATAATAGATTTAGGGGTGAAATCAAATCAAGTCGAGTATTTGGTAAATCAAACTCAACTCGATCTCTATAGTGCCGAGTTCAAGTTCGAGTTCGAGTTCAAGCTTGATCAAACCTAAGAAATCAAGTTCAAACTCGAACTTGGTACTTGAAATTACAAATCGAGTTCGAATTCAAGTTCGTATAATATCGAGCTTTTTTCGAGTTTTAATCGAGTTCAAGTTCGAACTCGATTTCAAGCTCATCTAACAGGGGTGGATTTGTAAATTTTATAACTTTTAAATTACATATGACCCCTATTACTTTAAAAACTGTCAACTTAACCATCGAGTTTGAAAATACTGGCGAATATATTGAGTCGAGTTTTACTCGATTAACTACTCGAACTCGACTTGACTAATGCGAAGTCAAGTTCAAGCCAACATCAAGTATAGTTTGAGTGGCTCGACATGATTTTCACCCCTAAATAGATTATATGCTTCACTCATTTGTTCAGGATTTAAACCATTACGTGCAAACCCAACAGCTCTTATTCTTTTCATTTTCACTCCCAATAAAATTTTTAAAAACTAATAGATCCCCTTACATAAAAATAAAAATTACAAAGAATATGTAATAAATATATTAGAATTAAAAACGGGAGTTTTACAAAAATAAAATCCAAACTTACCGTGGGAGCCAGCTATTCCGTTCTCAAAATCTCTAAGGTTTATAAGGATAAAATTTAAATAAATAGAAACAGAAATAGAAAATCTGAAATTTTAAAAAAATTGAGTGGGGGCCGTGGTCCCCACTCGTCATTCATTAAATCCGCCCCTGAATGTCCACCCATAATAGTCACTAATCCTTCCAAATGCAGCTAGACCGCATTGTCATTCATTCCATTTCTGAAAGTTCTGATATCCATTACATGCACAAGACATGCTTCTCTACGTTTTTATCTCTTAATTTTGCTTCGTGGAATGGGCAAAACTAATCTCGATTGATCGATTGTTTTGATCGTTTATATAAAATGATATTTGAAAATTGAAATGTCAGTTAACTTAATCGGCGGGTGTTTAATCTCTCCTGAATTAGATCGAATAAACCGCCCACAAACAACATAAATATAGTTGTACAAATTAATAAAAGAGAAACAGAGAGAGGGAGAGAAATAATACAATGGGATTCCAATTCTCCATGTTCATAGTTGTAATCTTTACCTTTCAAAAACAAGAAGCAACATGCAAACAAAACTTTACATACATGTAAAACCAAGAAATCTTAATCCTCTGAGGAAAATTAGTATTATAACTAGAAGAAGTTCGAACTTTTCATAATAAATTCGAGTTATAATCAGCATTTATATGTCATAATAACTCTAGCGGCCGGATTCAGAAACCCCCGTAAAGATGGAAAGTCTCGGCTGCGACTCGGGGGTTTAAGATTTTAATTTTGAAGCCCTTCAACATATATGATCTCTGGTCTTTCAAGCTCACATATGCACCGTCCAAAACTATCGATAAGATCGAAGAATGGCGCCGCAGAAAGTACAGATAATCGCTCTCCAAGATTTCCAATAAAATGGAACGTGGCAGAACCTGGTGGCTGTTTTCATGTCAGCTACGCTCGCTCCACCGCCACACCTCGAGCAAATCCCAGCTGCCGGCTTGCTTCTACGCACTTTACGTGTCTGATCCACCAGAAAACAAAAGCACACCATATTGGCTCGGCTTGTAATTTGAATGTTTCGGTTTTCTTCTCTTCTCCGAAATTTCGGTTGTTTAAGCTATTTTGTAGTTGTAGTTTTTCAGTTAAGAAGGAGAGTGTTGGTTAGTTGAAGAGAAGGAGCAGCGTCCTTTATGTATGGCTGAGTGAGGTAAAGATCGAGCAGCTTTGGTTAAGTATTTTGAGTTTGACCGTTGGATTGATGACATATAGTCACCATATGGGTAGCAGTTGGATGTGCAAGTATAGAAGAGACTAGAGAGTGATGGTAAATGAGGTTGAATGTGGGCTGTACACGTGGAAATGAGTTTGTATGTGGTGATAATGTGGTCCATTAAAAACAGAGCTGATTTTTGTGTGAAGTAGGGAATGTGGATGGCAGTTGTTGGGTGACAGTAGCGTACGTGTTGAATTTAAGTTGGTTTGACATTAAGTAAACTGCTAGGTTTAATTAATAATTGGAATTATGAAAAAAACTTGTTACCTTATAAATAAAAAAAGAAGTTGAAATGTAATATCGTTGGGTTGTTGAAATATTTAATGAAAGAAAAGGAGGGATGTCTAACTTTGGCGGAAAAGTCTAATTTTGGTGGCAGCTAGTGTGTAACTTGTATTTGTTCATCTTATTACCCACTTCATTTATTGAAGCTATGAAATTCATTTAACCAAACCATGTACTCGTTCCACCACTTGATCAATCAACGACCAGAATTGATTATTTCCAAAGGCCATAATGAGAACAATAAATTCATCAGATTTCTTAAAAGGAATAGTTTAACATTTTAAACCATACTTGTTAGTATCCTACGATACGTGATACATATTCTATGATATGATTCGATACGAGACGCCAATAATACGTATCAGAGAGTGTATCCTAAACATTTCGATACGTTGATATGTATCTTATAATATAATAAGTATCTGTTTGTATCATTAAAAATATCAATACAAATTGATACGACTTTATTAATTTAGGCCAAAGGTCCAAAAAAAAATTTTAGGTTGAATCCAGGTTACCCAACCCGATTCACTAAAACCTGCCCAAATTTACCCATTTTGCGTGGAGAAAGTGAAAATGAAGATGTGTTGCCCATTTTGCATGATAATAATAACACAAGTGAAGTTATAGATATTGATATTGATCTTGGAAATTATATGAACGGTTAAGAGGAAATGATATAAATTCTTAATTTTGTGATTAATTTTAATTATGTAATATCATAATTAAAGCCAATAATACCACATAATTTGTTAATTAATCATGGGATGATATTAATTTTTAGAAAATTTTTATTTTTATTTTTTTTATTTTTTTTTTGAAAAATGTGTATTTTACAATACGATACAATACGTGATACACGATTCAAAAAATTAAGTTTTTCATACACGATTTGACAACCCTATTTTAAACTTATTTTAATTCATCTTTAAAATTACAACTTACAAGGGAGAGCAGTTAAATTCGGCACAGCAAAGATGGTGTACACGTACGCAACAGCATCGATCGCATTTGCCTAGGTTCTTAAAGAAACCGATCACCAAGGAACATCAAATACTATATAGGGGCGTTTGGTTGGAGGTTATATAAGATTACAAGGTTATATCATCTTATATTACTTGATTATCACGTTTGGTTGTCAAGTAATATAAGATTTCGGTAATCTTCCAATACCAATAGTAGTTACTATTAGTAATATTGGAGGTAATCTCATAACCTCAATTTTCTTAGGTATTATAAGATTACTTGGTTATTTCATTTTTGTTACAACTTTATTCCTTATTAATAATTTTTTTGGACAATAATGCCCTTGTTTAAAAATAAATTTACATTAATCCACCATTGCAATTTTACCCTTGTTTAATTAAGTTTTTAGACAATAATGCCATTATATTTAAAGCAAATTGCAGACCAGTACCGCCACCTAGCGACCACCGTTGGCAGTTGGCCAACCACCGTCGGTCGTCGCCGGAAGTTGCCTGAAGTCGTCAAGAGTCATTGGGAGGCTCTTATATGGCCGTTTCTGGCCATATCGATGACTAAAAGGGCCAAACTAACTGCCAGATCCATCGATCTAGCTGGAAATGGCTAGAATAGATCCGGACAGATCCATCGATCTAACTGGAAATGGCGAGAATAGATCTAGCCATTTTCGGCCAGCTCCACTCCATTTTGGTCGTTTTCCAGAAACGACCATATCGAAGCCTTCCGACAACTCTTGGCGACTCCCGACGATTTCCAACGACTTTTGTTAACAGATGGCGGTGGTCGGCAGTGGCTTGGGGTGGTGGGGGTGGGGGTGGGGTTGATTTCGTTATAAATTAAAGTTTTATATAAGCTGGGGTGCTTTAGCTAAATCTGAAATGTTGGGGGTTAAAAAAATTATCCAAAAATTAATAATAAAAATAATATTGTATTAATATTTAAAGAGAGGGCAATTTAGTAATTTATATAACATACCCATCAATTTATTCCTTCTAACCAAACATATTAATATAACATACCCACCAATTTATTCCAACTAACCAAACACATTAATATAACATACCCACCAATTTATTCCTTCTAACCAAACATATTAATATAACATACCCACCAATTTATTCCAACTAACCAAGCACATTTTTTTAAAGATTCTTAGTAATCTTCAAGGTAATCTGACTTTCCATTAATATAACATTCCTAATGTTGATGCGTGATTTTGACACCAATTAAACACACGTGTGAAATGCTGAGCTAACTCGGAAGACACACGCGAATGGGTGTACGATAATGGATAAAAGATAGGGAACGATGTTTAAAGTGGTTCGGATGCTTCAATAAGCGACTCCTACGTCCACTGATATTATATTAATGTAGTGAGGTTAGGTCGCATTCAGCGAGCTGACTTACAAGCGATTACAAAGAGAGAATAAGTGTGCTATTACAGAGAGATATTAGCTAATCCCACAAACGGGAGAGGAGCTCTCTATTTATAGTGGGATGAAATCACGTAATGATTACTAAATCTATGAATGGGTCAGATTGCTATGCAAATCCTTCCTTGTGCCCCGTTATTCACCTACTCGAGTGATTTACTCGACTCGCGCAGATATTTGGACACGTGGATCATCTCCAGCCTTTCACCAGCCTAACGAGCACCTACTGCACTGGCAGGAGCACGCCTCTTGCGTCAGCACGTGACGTGGCTGCACCTAAATGGCACCTGGACTTACCTAAGCTCTGACCACTTGCGCTGACAGGGGTCTGCGACAGCCCTACTTTTTCAGGCATAACAGAAGTCCCCTAGTTTTTAAGATTTGAGAATCGAACCTTGGAAACTACATATTATGCCTCGATTTGATACGTTCGACAATATTGGTTGATCCGACCCGGATGCAAAGAGTTTGAAGAAACATTTTCATGCAGGCGACCTGGAGTGGTCTTCACTTTAAGAGTCAGCGACTTGTATTTAGACCACACCCTGTGCCACAACAACGACCTTGATCTTCATCCGAGGTTCACGACCTGATTGTACTTGGTATTTTTTGCTTTAAGGCAAGAGACCGTGTTGCTTTGTGACCAATATATACCCAAGTCGAAGAGTCACGTCGCTTCGCAATGAGACATGAGCCGAAGAGTGTTGTACATAACGACCTCTTCAGGTGTTATCCGTTGCACATTTGCAGCAGATACATTTAATGAAATACCTTTTGCTCTGACAAACATGTCATGTGTGCAATAAGTGCGAGTCATGCTGAAACTAGGTTCCCTATCAGCGCATTAAATGCTGATGTGAGTGCATTTAATGTGAAGGAGGGAAAACGTGCCGTCGCTTGAGTGTTTCAACGGAAGAGGACGACGATCTGGTTTCTCGAAGCATGATGGTCACTCTTCCCCGTTGATTCATGACACATGGTCACGATCAATGGTCAAATGTATTTTTCGCCCAAATGTCGTTTGACTTCGAGAAACCGAAACACCATTTCCTTCACTATAAAACCCTAAGTTCACTTCAGGCAATGTCACAATATTCATCTTCTCAGAAAGAGCAAGAGATTTTCTTGAGCCTTGGTTCTTTGTCTATTAGATTGGTGCACGCTTGATATCCAGAGCAGGAGGACTAATCTTCTCATTTCAAGAGGTAAGGATGATCCTTCTGCCACTTTTACTATTTTTTCTTGTTTTTAATATTTGCCAAGCGATGACAGTCTGTCAGAAGTTGATCGGAGATGAAATATTCTCTTTGGGATTGAGCCATTGATGGTGGTGCTAAAGATATCATGTTAGGGTTTTTCTAGGGTTAAAGGGAGGAAGTATTTTCTTTTTCCTCCATGTCATCGTACGAAACAGTGTACGAAGACTGAGTGATTCCCTGCATGTCGCTTTTCTTTTCAGACCGTAGAAGAATGGACTCCCCAACGACTAGGACTGAGGAGGATCCCCCTCAAGAGATCCTGTCGATAATTACTGCCGATGAGCTCCAGAAGGTGGTAGACCAATGTAATATCTGCTTCCTAATCAAGTACCAATAAAACATACATAATGAAATTACATATAAGATAGTAAAAGAGTTGGGCCCAAATTTTCTTTTATGAAACATATACATTCATTATACAAAGTTTGGATTATGTACAGAAGTTATCAAAAACATGATGGACAGTGTAACCATTTCTCCTCGCGTGCCGACGCCCATCCGACCACGTTCTCACCTAGATCCTGCAACCACAAAGAAAATAACGGGGTGAGCACAAACAATGCTCAGTAAGTAAATCCTCTACTCGACTGTCCCCGTAATTCTTTCTCTTAATTCTTTCCTTACACTTTTTCTCATCTCATTTATTTTCTCTTTCACACAGCTCTCCTACTTAACTTCGCCAATTGTCACGGCCTCATCTTACCGGAGACACGGCCGAGTGAAGTTCACACAGCACCAACCCACTCTTCGTGACTTTCGGGTGGAAATCACAAAGCACCAACCCGCTTTTCGTAACTTTCGGGTGGAGATCACAAAGCACCTACCCGTTTTGACTATCTATCGGGTGGAGATCACAAAACACCAACCCGTTTTTAGTATTTTTCTCATTCTCTATACTCTTAGAGTAGTTCATACACATAGTTCTCTACTCTTTCTCAAGC